GGACTACTCTGATGACAGCATACTCATTTGGCTAAGTATTTTCTGTTTGTACTGGTGGTAGTTTCATTAAATCTGTTGTACTTTCATTTATGAGTCCTCTCTCCTTTTTCCCAATTCCACTCCCTGACTGGTGAGGGTTCATTGGGAGATAGAGCAACTGTTACATTTAGCCCTTGGGTACAGGCTAAATGTAGACACATATACAAATATACATGGTTTGCCACTGTTGAGGCCAGCACAGAAACTCTCAAAGCTTATGTTACTAGTGGAGTAGTTTAGGAATCTGGTATATCTAGAACAGCTAAATCTACACAGCACATGCGTAATTCCCATCAAGATTATGCTTTTGAATCTGATTCTTTTTAAATGTGGCACTTCCTGTGGCCCTATTGCCATCACATCACTGCTTTGCACAGCACTGGGAGGGACCTGCCCAGCTACTCATTAGCAGCAAGGCCACTGCTCTCTCTGGAAGGCAGAGGTAACTCTCAAAGCTGTTACCCTGCTGAGCCCGTCCAGGTCAGCAGGCAGTGGGGGCAGCCATGGAGATGCTCCACTTCACCACCAAGCAAGGCAATGGAAGGGGGGTTATGGGCAGCAATGCAGCCTTTGCTGCATGCACCCACTGTGCCCTGACAACCCAGCAAGGCAGCTGCCAACAGTGCCAAGGTGCCTAAGCAAGAAGTGTCTGCCTTCCACTTTTACCTGTGCTGTCTTCTTAAATTCACGTACAAGAGTTAACATCTTAATGCCTTGTTGAATATCAGAAAAGCACTGAAGTATCCCCATTTCAGCATTTGCTTGATGCAGAAAAGGGCACTGAGCAGGCACAGAAGAGAAGCAAGGTCTCTAGGCAATCGGCTGCACTATTATCCCTTGGAGAACAAATACTGGAGGTGTTAGAGAAAAAGCTTTTTTTTTTTTTTTTTACCATCAGTTTGGGAGTCAATTGCATGTAAAGGAGTGGCTGTGATCATGCTGGCCTCAGGTCAAAATCCAGAGCACGCCTCTGACTCCTGGCCTCAGCACAAAGAGGTTGTTGGAAACCCTGTAGTGTCTACAGTGAGTCTGGCTGTCCAAACAAACATGCACTTGCCTCGATGGGAGGCATATCAAAAAGCTGGCTGACCCAGCTGCCTATGGAGCAGAGAGACAACCTGCTGGAAACTCTCAGCCAAAGAGTATTTCTGCCTTTCCACATATAAGAAACTCTTTGCCATAGGACAAAGGGATGCCACAGATACTAAGTTTACCTTAAGTCTAAAAAGCAACTGGACAAATGCATGGGGTAAAGTCTATCTGGGTCCACCAAGCACAATAATGAAAAACCTTGAGCCACATTGTACTAAAGACAGGGAAATATTTAGAGGCGGTATCAGCCCACAGTTGCACTGACCCTGTAATCTATCTCAGTTGTCCACTACCATCCATCACTGGCAGCAGGGCACTGAGCTAGATGGACCTCAATGTGATAAAGCATCTAATATTTCTGGGTAGTGGGTCATGTTGAAAATCAGTCACGAATATTTGTCTGAACACTGTCCGTGAACTTCAGCCACAGGAACACACAAGCAAACAGACAATTTTCCTCAGGTAAGCAGGCTCCTTAGTTTCTACATTAACATAAATACATCAGTCAACTCTCAGTTGGCTGGAATCAATGAAGAAGATTACTCCATCAGCTCCCACCTCACATGGTCAGACAACATAGGGCCACACCAGGATACCTAAAATAACAATTTATTGGAAAAAGCATTATGACTACTTATAGATGCTGTGACATGATTAGTACCCCAAACAGAAAGATAAACTGGCAACCTAAATTGTTTCAAATCAACAACTCCCACTGAGCTCACAGAGTCAATGATCAGCACAGAAATTGTAAATCACAACATTATTATTTATTTATTTAAAACTCTAGAAAATGCAGACAGAATGCAGACATCTTCGTGTGTACAGAAAAGGCAATTTGGTTTGCATAAGCTTTTGATATCACTTAACTCTGTTTATGAAACTGTACCCTGCCTACTGCATGCAAACGGCCTGCAGCAGGGCTGCAGAGACAAGAGCCTACAGACATGATTACTCTCACTGTTGGGTCAGAAGCTCACTCTCTCTCTGTGTTCAGAGTCTACCCATGTTATGAAAGAAAAACCTGTGCTGCTGAGATGTGCAGTTCTTTTCATACCAGGTTTATTATTGGTCTTCCCAACATCTGAGATTTCACAGGAGAAATTTGAGAAATTTCAAGAAATTTCAGGATTTTGATCATTGCAGGACAGTCACCACTGGCAGCCAGAAAGGACTGTATCCACAAGTATTACACAAGTTACAAAATGAATCTGGGAATGCATAAACCAGACAGCACTGTGCCCCTCCGTTCCTCACCCACACAGGTAAAAATAATCTGGAACATGAATAGGTTTGGATTCAGTGACAGCCTTAGAAAGGACTTTGCTCCTTAAAAAACTCCTTCAAAATCCTAACTCATTGTCCGCCTTGATTTCCCTTTTAATTCTACCTCCCCTGCACTGCAATCACTAAGCAGCCAATAGCTTTTCCTTTGTTTCATTGAAAATTAAATGACATCTGCTCTTTTTACCCACCCTGACTAGTTACTCTTGCACACAGGCAACTGAAACTCTCTCGTGAGGTCCACAGCAAAACTCTCACATGGCTCAGCAAGAGTGAAAAGGAAAGCACATCAGAACCTCAGCTTTTCTCCTTTTATGACTGAGATTTGTTCTCAGAAAGCAGGCCCATGTCAAACAGCTCGACCAGCCAGAACCCGGGATGCCATCTGACAAATCTCTCTTTCAGCTCCAGAGGGAAAATGGCTTTTGGAAAGTGCCTGAACTTCAGAGCACTTAAGCATCAGAGGAGCACACCTCTTTTAGTGGAGGTAATGAATTATACAGGCACCCAAGCAGCACAGTGTGTGAGCGTGTTCCCGCTGCAGGCATCCTACTGCCCCCCTGGCAGAGCCGACAGATAAAATGCTGGTTTGATGCCTAACAATTAAACATTGCCAGTCTTCCTAAAAAAAGACCTACTCTTGGTATTGTATCTGAAGTTACTGAAAGGCTACTCATTATTTGACACAAACCCCTGTTTTCAAGAACAGCCAGGTCTTCATCGTCCTTTAAAAGAGACAGCTGCTCTGAGTAGACCTTCAGAAACTAACACCATTTGAGAAGTGAGGTTTTTTTAAGACCCACACCCACAATAACTCCACTAGACGTTCACCATTCTTCAAATGCACTCTCAGATCACAAGTAATAGGCACGTGTTATTTTTCTAATTCAATTAGATTACCACACACATTTCAGCTTTGGCCCTTGTGTAGGCTAGTTCTAAAGAAATATGACACACAAGTAACAGGAAGGTGAGGAAATGATCCTGGCGTCTCCATGTCACATTGCCCAGCTGCTAGCTGAGATCAGGACATAACACATCCCAAAATGTCTCACCTAAACAGAAGGATAACTGCAAACAGAAACCTGGATCTTCCTTTAAATGACATTTCTCAGTCAGGTGACTTCTGTATTGCTCTCCTACACACTATGAGTCAATGTAAAGGATGCTTATTGTCACCATGCGGTGTTGGTAGCAATGCCCATATCCCTTTAGACTGCTTTTGGAACGGCACAGATAAAAGCAGCATTTTACAGCTGCAGCAAGCTCAAGAAGATAAAAAAATCCCTGTATGCACTTTTGTCATGTTCCCCTGCCTGCCTCAGGTGATATTAACAGTCTGCCAGCACTTAGACATGACCCCTGTCAGGCACCAGCCTTGCTAATTAGGTACTTTGGCTGTCTTAGCATTGGACTCTGAGAGCATGTGGGAGATAAAAGCAAGCCGTGGAGACATCATGAGAGTCTGTGTGGTTGTGGACCTGGTCCAGAAGGAAGGATCAGGACTGTCAGGGTGGTCTGCAGTGTTCTAAAATGGTTGGTCCATAGAAGACCAAGGCATAGGTGTGAAGGAAAGGAATGATGGTTTTGTGCCTCTGCAAAATTATTAGTTTATTTTCAAGAAGACAGGAACATAGTGTGGGGAGGTTATCAGTGCAAGCCAGCACCACAGGGAGTCAGATGCTCACTCTTTCACAAACCAGACCTCATTGCGTCTCCCATAAGGCTTCATAGGGGGGTCGTAACCATTGCAGAAGTAGAAATCCTTGCGGTATGCAGCTTCACTCCCCAGAGCAGACTTCAGTTTAGCAGCATAGCTCACATAATCCACTTCTTTGGCATAGCCACCAAACTGCCTGCAAAGAAACCAAACACAGAAAGGTGCTGAGCAGTGCTGGCAAAGCACAGAAAGGAAGAGAGGGAGAACAATATATAGCCACGGTACATTTAGCCACGCATTCTGGTCCAGGTCCCACCAGCATACGCTCACGAAGGCACTGTTCTTTGTGAACAAGCACACTTGGTCTGTGATAGATTAAGTCTCAAGGGTTACACAGCCAGGGTGCAGTCATCCATTGGCAGACCCCAAACACTCTCCCACCCCAAACAGACCCATGTATATCAGTCAGCAGAATGGCCATGCCCTTTGAATCAACGCCATATCAGAGGAACAGCCTCCTAGAACACAAGGTTATCTCTAAGTCTGCTTCGCCTGCAGTACTTACACCAATGCTGTCAACAACCACATTCACTGTAGTGTGAACAACCACCTGATGGAAGCCAGATCATGAAGGGAAGGCAAACTCTAGCTAGCCCAAGGAAAAGGGGAGGTAGGAACAGAGATGTTAGCAATTACAGCCTGCAATGATATTTAAAAGGGGTGGGCTGGAATTGGTCCATTTTATGCTGGCCTCCCACCAACAGGAACTGTTTCCACATCAGCCTGCACCTCACCACCCTGCCTCAGGGCCAAGGTTTGAGACAAAACAGCCTGTTCTTGCAGAAGTGGCCCAGGCCTGCATCAAAGGTCAGGCAGCAGGTGCAGGCAGGGGAGGAGACAGACAGTTTAGAGTAAGTCAAAATAGTTCAAGCAAGGAGGCAGGGGAACATCCAAGGGGTTAAATACAAGATGCTATCATGATGCTAGTTTGAGTCCAGCCAACAGACCAAGATTTGAAGCAATGCAATGACGGGATCTAAATGAGTCCACTTAAATGAGGTTTCAGCTGACACCTGTAGTTTGATGCGAACCACACCAAAGGACATTCTTGATGACTAAGACCCATCTTGATCCCAGAAGTGGGGAAAACAATACTTCTCAGAGATTAGAAATTACTCAGTACCTTCATATTCACTCTCTCCTGCTCTTCACCTCCCCAGGTGAAACAAAAAGCCTTTCAGGCCTAAGCTCCAGGCTTGTTTTCCCAGTGAAAAAAAATCCATATTCCAAATTGCTGCAGCATGATCAATTATAAGAAATGACATAAAACACCTGTCTTCAGTCTAGAAAGACCCCTCCATCTCCTACTACCACATGCACCCCTTGCCCAGCAAGTCACCTGGTAAAACCAACACTGCTCTCCAGAGCACACTAGAGACCTCAGCACTTGGGACTGGAATCCCAGGATAAGATCCTTACGTGGAATAAATGGTCATCCCCTGTCTCTCTTCAATTTTAATGCTTTTATCACTGGGGCAAGGAGGGTTGGCTTGAAATTGGCTTGGGATCCGCAGAGAGACCTTCACTTTCTGCTGTAAGGAGCCATCTAAAAAGCAGTCATGGAGACAGGAGCAGTCATCCCCATTCCAACGCCTGAAAGAGACACACAGACATCACTAAAGAAGGCTAGATTCTCAGGTACTCACAGAATTAACAGGGGATTCACAAAAGGTAATTTTAGTTTAGGAAAACTCCTCACATGGAACTTGTACAGTCAGTAAAGAGTGCGGTCCTCTGTGGCATGCAGAACAGACACATGTTCTGCATGGGCCAAACTTCTCGCTCCACTGACTACAGAAGGATCCTGGGAGATAAGGGCCGCAGGTGACCTCTGGATGTCTTTTTATTAATTGTCCTGGTTTTATGGCTCTCAACAATATAGGTCATGCCACCAAGACACTGCTCTTCTGACACATCACCTCTAACACAACAGGGTCTATAGCTCCAGGGCAGGTCAGTGGCACATGTAACTCTACATCAGTATTTAAATTGTTATCATCTGCACTTAGGGGTGAGCCCATAGCCAATAGTGGGTGACAGGAGCTTTCTCCTAAACCCTTCCAAATACTTCCAGAAATGCTACAAGTTCCAATGCCCCCAAACCCAGAGCTGTTATGGCTTTCAGCAGG